CTAAGAATGTCATTTCAGTATCAGAGTAAATTAAATGGTTTAGCCAATTTTGTCATTTGATACCAATTTTACATTCAGAGATAAAGGATCAACTTTTAATGTTTCAATCAATTTTTCAGATATTTCAAATTTCTAGCTTTTTGAGTGCATAAGCTGCAATTTTAGTACTTAAGATACTAAATTTGACTTAAAATAATTATAGCCTGGCTAAATACCACTTTTTATATCTGTAAAGTAAGCCGCTATTGTTCAGATAACTAATACAACATTGCAATTTGCCTAGAATTAACTATTTTAATTAATTTCTATTTAAGGCGACCAACCAGCATGGATATTCCTCGAAAATATGAAACTAAATTTGTAATCTTCTTCCATACTCAATTTAAACACAGCCAAAGGCTTTATTGAAATAGATAATCCAAAGGCAAATATTACTACTCAAGGTCTTCAATTGATTTTTTAAACAAAAAATGATTTTCCCTTTATTTACGCCAAACAGAATTAGGCGATATAGTTACAATCAACCTAAATCTCTACTTTATCTACAATGGCTCTCGGATAGTTTGTATTTTCTATCTCTGATCAGGCAAGTATTAGTGTTAATAAACTAGAAGTAAATTGTCTCTTGAATCCGATAAGCATTAATATTATTGATTCAATTGATCAGATAAGTTCTTAATCTTTATTTTACTTATAAGGTTCAAAGTAGATCTTAATATAGAACAGCAAATTTTAAAACTGTTACAATGCAATTGAAGGCTAAGTATTTAATGTTAAAAACTCTTCAGAATTTATAATATACAACTCAACTTTTTCTAACATCTCTTCAAAATTTGGTGGTATTTTCAATTTTTAAAATGTTAGTTCAAGCAAAATTCAAAATAACTCCTTTTCCAACATATATTCTAGCAGTGGAGGATTATTATACATAAAAGGAGATTCAAATGTTACTATTTCAAGTATGACAGCTCAATAATTCTATTCTAAAGGTAATGGTAGCTTAATCTATGCTTCTGATTCTAATAGTAATATTTAAATTTATCTGAATGAATTGATATCCCTATCTGGAGTATATTCTTAAGCAGGATTTGGTGGAGTAATTTATATAAATGGATAAAATATACAGCTTTAGAGTAATTCCTTATTCATAGCTTCTAATCTTTCATCATATGAAGGAGCTTTTATTTACTCAGAAAGCTCATAATTCATAGAAGTTAGAAATGTTATACTTAAAAACATTTCAAATGGACAAGTACTCTACTCTAAAAGTTAAGGATCAATCTACTTAGAAAATAATACTATTGAGTGTAGTAACAAATAATTTGATGATAAATATGTTTAACTAGTATATATGCAAACACTGCCAGTTATTTCCAACTTTTTCTCGCCTACGCAAAAGACACCTTTGATTATTGTAAATTCTAGAAGTATAGTTTCTAGAGGGAATAGGATTAGATATTGTTATTAATCTTAGAAAGGGGGTGCAATTTTTCTTGAAAATACAACTTTTAATGATTCGGCGGGATCTAATTTTAGCTATAATTCTGCTCTTGAAGGTGGTGTGATATATTGCAAAGACTGTAAGTTGTAATTGAATGAGACTAACTTTCAAAGCAATTTTGCAAATTTTGGGGGTTCAATTTATCTCTATTAGATTTCTTAACTTTTAGCTTCGAAGATTACAGTTAGAAACTCGACAGCATATTCCCTGGGGGGTTTTATTTACCAAAATTCAACAGATTTAACATTACCTAAGCCTTAACCTGATGATGATTACAATAAGGATAGTAGTAGTATCACTTTTGATTATCTTTACCCTTTCATTAAGATTCTTGATAAATCTATGATCAGATATACATATGCAACATAGCACGGTGGATCATATTACATTTAAGCTAATTATTCTGAAATTTATATATAAGGATAGGTGAATCAAAGTGATTCCTAAACAATTGTCTCAGGAAGTCATGGAGGTATTATGAGAATTATTTAGGCAGATAAACTATTCATTTCAGATTCATATTTCTAGCTGTATAGTTCAACTAATGGATCTGTAGTTGCAGCAAATTGTCCTAGACTTAGTGTTTTCATTAGAAATAACTAATTTGATTAAAATAAAAAATTCTTTGCAATTGTTGCTGCTTCTTTATTTACTGGAGACCTAACAACTGGAGCTATAGCTATAGAAAGCAGCAGGAAATTTATGACATAGAATAATACCTATTAAAATCATTTCTATCCAAGAGAGGGAGGCGTTATTTATTCCATCTCTAATACTTTTGAAGATTTCAATTCAACTTATCTGTATAATATGGGGGTTCATGGAGGAGTAATGAAATTTCTTAATAACTTAAATATAAAAATATCTAATTCTACCTTCAAGCACAATAGAGCCTACGGTTATGGTGGTGCCATTTACTTGCATAATATTACTAACGAATGTAACATAGAAAATGTTTCATTCTATAATCATTCTACCACCAGTATAGGTGGAGTCGTATATTTCATCTAAGATTTTACTCCATTTGTCGTACGCAATGCAAGTGTATTAAGAATGAGATAAATAAATGTCACGTATACTTATGGATTGAATGCTGCCTTTGGTTTTTTTAATGGCTTTAATTCAACGATAATAATAGAAAAATCGTTTTTTAATATGACAATGGGGAGTTAGTATAATGCTATCCAAATTACTAGAGCCGCTAATTTTATAATAAATGAGATAACTGCCTATAATTTTTTTTCTGGGCTTGATTCAGGTTTTGTATATGCGAGTAACATTACTGAAGTACTTCTTTTCAATTAAAGCACTGTGATATGTAGAGAGCCATATTTTAGATAATAAAAATCAAATTCTTTTTCAATTGGAGGAGGATCTGCATCTGAGAGTTTTAATTGGAGACAAATGGTAACACTCTAGAGAGTATTCTCCTTAATTTCTGTTTAATTCAGCGTATTTTCATACAATAAATTTAGTGGTTGTGATCTCTAAGGTGCCAAAGATGCAGGAATAGTTTCAGTAAGAGAATTTTCTTTTGCAACAGTAGATTTTTCATCAGAATATAATGACATTACTAATACGATAAATGGAATACACTTTCATAATGGTACTAAGGTCTATATCTCAAATGTAACATTTAGCAATCTAAATTGTTAATCAGGATTGGTAACCACTAGCTAAACAAGTGTTCATATAATAAATTCTACTGCTGAAAATATTATAGCCAAAGATGGAGGACTACTTAACTTTATAAAGTTGATTTATTTATTGCCCAGTGCAGCTATTGATACCTCTATCACTAATACGACCATTAAAAATATTACTTTGACAGGAAGAGGTGGAGTTTTATTTTCAGATAGCTATTCTCTTAGAAATATAAAATTATAATCTCTAGACATTAGTGAAATCAAAACTGGAGGTACAGGGGGAATAGTGCATTTAGAGTAATATTAGGGAATTTTTAAGGCAGGCTCTAGAAGAGGATACAGAAACTTTAAAGCAGTTGATTTTTATTCAGCAATCGGAGGTTATTTTATCCACTCTTAATCTTAGATCTCTAGATTTGCACTTAACAATACATATCTTTAATGCTAAGCAGAGGGAGTTTCCAAAATAAGTAGAGGCTTGAATAATACTGAGTAAAGTGGAGTTATCTATCTGGCTGACTCTATAAATGGACTCTAAAGCTATAATGTAACAATCACAAGATGTCAGCTGCCTTACTAAGGTCCTAAAATTAATTTGATTAATACAACTTTTATTGACTATGGATCAACCTTCAAATTGAATAATGGAAGTTTCGGAGCAGTAGTTAAATGTAATGCCTGCAATATAACAATGAAAAACTCAATATTCGAAGACAATTACAGTCAATTCGGGTAGATTTTTCTTGATAATTAAGTTAATGCCTTATTTGAAAATATAACTGCAGTAAATAGCATATCTTAAGATGGAGGTGTTTTTTACATGACTAAATCAACTTAAACTGATGGTTAATATTCCTATGTAACTATAAAAAATTCTGAGAACATATTTAACAACAAAGCAATAATCAGTGGAGGATTTTTATTTATCGATAACATTAATCTCAAGTTAAGTTTAGAAAATGTTTAAGCTTCAAAGTAAAGTGCTGATGCTGAAGGTGGATTGATAATAGTAAAGAATGCATTGGAGATAAAGATTTAAAATTCAATATTCAAAGATATTTCTTCTAATTTAGGAGGTATTATATCCTCTGAATCATCCTCTGTTTCTTTCTCTATTAAATCAACTCAATTTACTTGTGATTCTACTTTAACAGATACTGAAGCCATTGATAAATTTAACATGACCTCTCCAGAGGTATATACTCAAAGTTACTTTTTCATTTAAAATGCTAGAAATGTATCAATAAATAAAAGTAGCTTTGCTAAGTGTACAAATTCCTAGTTTGGGCTATTTTCTTTACAGAAAACAAGGTTTTACGATTATAAATCAACATTTTAACTCAACTCTGGTTTCTATGGAAGTATTATTAATAGTTAGGAAACTTAGAGCATGCTTTAATTTTCTTAGATTTCAAACAATATGGCAGATACTGGTGGAGTATTTTACATTGTATAGTATTCGAATATTTCATTGGAATACTGCAAGATAAATTCTAATTATGCAAAGATTTCTGCTGGAGTATTATATTTATCTACTCTTTCAAATGTTCATATCAAAGGATCAGATATTTCTTAGAATCAAGCCACTGAAAACTCAGCAATTGAAATCTTAAGTTCGAACACAAATATGAATATTACAATAGTGAATTCCTTTATAAATGATAACTTTGCTCAAAGAAATACTATCTCGCTGACTTAAGCAAGTGTCTTGATAGAAAACACTCAATTCAAGAATAATATTGCTTTTTAAAGATCTAAAAATATTATCTGTTCCTTTTCCAATATTACTATCAAGGATTCAATCTTTTAATCCAACGAAGATTAAAGCTCGAATTTGATGAATAAGGAAATTACTGGGTCTTTTATTTTCTTGATATTCGATGTAATCATATAGATAGAAAATTCTAAATTTAATGGTGGCTCATCTAATTTAGGTGGAGCTATATACGTTTCTGGAGATAGTACAGTTAGAATATACAAATCAGATTTTTTAAATAATTTTTCAAGAATCAAGGGAGGTGCTATTTATGCCTCTACTTTTAAGAGTATCTATATTGGGTAATCATCTACTTTCTCAAATAATTAAGCATAAAATAGTGGAGATGACATTTTTGTGACTAATAGCTACAATTTAGTAACATTTGATTATGTTAGCATCATTAATGGTCTAGCTAAGTAGTCAATTTTTATTGAGCAAGCTTAAGTTTACGCTAATAATTTAATCATTTAAAATGTGGGATAAAATTAGTTTTCATAATAAGGGGCTGGAATATACTGTGCACAGTGCTTTTCGATATAAATACAAAATTCAAACTTTAAGAACCTTAAGAGTTCTTCTGGAGGAGCAATATACATAACTGAATCAGAATTTAACAAGGACAGCAGTAGCTCAATTAGTAAATCAAAATATCAAATCATAAATTCAACTTTTGACTCGTGTTTAGCTTAAATCGGAGGAGCTATTTATGCTTCAAATCCCGAATCACTAGTAATATCTGGATCGAATTTCCTTTATAACAGAGCTACAAAATTTTAGAAAAAATAACTTCAGCTAGAATTAGCAGGATCAGGAGGAGCTTTATATCTAACTTGTAATAGCTAAGTACTTAATTGCCTCTTTATGTTTCAAGAATCGAATAAATTTACCGGCAATTTGGCATCAGTTAGAGGAGGCTCGATATATTGGGATGAATTAGAACCAATCTATCAAGCAGAAAAAATGATATTTCAAGGTAATTATGCAGATTAATATGGAGATGACATTGCTTGTTTTGCCTAAAATTTAGGAGCTATTGATAAGTATACTTATAAAAAATAGATGATTAAATTAGGAGTGAAATCTTTAGATGAATTCGATTATAGGCTTTTGAATCTAAATAAAGATAATACTAGTATAGAATTTAATTAAAATTATGCTATTGATTCACAAAGAAGTGGAGGTGAGATTCCTGTCTTATTTATGGCATTAATTGACAAATACGGGTAGATAGTGGGTTCAGATTTTAAAAGTAAAATTAGAATACAACTTCAGACTGAGGGACTAAATGCAAATGCAAGTAAATATAGTCCTATTATTGAAGGTAGCACTGATTTTATTGCTACAGGAGGAATAGCAGTTATTTAAGATGTAAATGTAGTAGGCTCACCTGGAAGTCGCTATCAAATGATTTTTTCGACTAATGGCATTGATTTAAATAAGCAATCAAATAAGAATCTTCTTACTAAAACTAATACAACTGAACTTGATTTAAAGATAGCTATCAATCTTAGATAATGCAAAATTGGAGAGTAGTTTACCAGCGCTGGAAAATGTGTTGAGTGCTTAGCTGGGTACTCATTGACTTCTTAGCTTGAACCTGGAGTTTGTACTTAATGCCCTACTTCTCAAGCAATATGCTTAGGTGGTGCAAACATAGGACCATAGCCAGGATATTGGAGGAAAAATAATCAAACAGAAACATTTGTAGCTTGCTTATATCAATTTGCCTGCCTTGGTATGATAACACCAAACTTCAGCCAAGTTGGAGAGTGTAGTACAGGCTATCAAGGTATATTATGTGCTGATTGTCAATCTGGTTTCTCAAGATCAAATGATTATGAATGTGCTTACTGCCCTCCTAAGATTCTTAATATTTTTAGGCTTACCACTATATTCATAGTCTTTATGACTCTAATCGTTTTTATGGTCCGTTCAACATTAAATGGAGCTACTGATAAAACTAATTCTACAAGTATATATACTAAAATATTACTGAATCACTTTCAACTGTTGATGGTGGTTGCTTCATTTGATTTTGAGTGGTCATAGTAAATAGTAGAATTTTTCAGTACTACTTAATAGATAGCCACAATTTCAACTTAAGTTTTTAGTTTTGATTGTTTCCTTAATGATGGAAAGGAGGCAGTTCATATAAGGGCATTTCTTATGAAGTAAATTATATTAGCTTCATTGCCAATATTATTGACATTAGCATGCATTTCATTCTGGACTATCTTTAAAAAGATAAAACAGTAAACTTCAACTGTATGGAATAAAGCAATGTCTAGCATTGTAATTTTACTATTCTTAGCTCACCCAAGCATTGTCTAGTATTCCTTCAGCAATTTTAAATGCAAAAATATTGATGGTGAAAATAGAGTGTTAGAAGATCTTGAGATTGTTTGCTGGGAACAATAGCACTTATTCTATACTAATTTCGTATCAATTCCTACAGTCTTAATTTGGGGAATCGGTATTCCACTCTTTGCCTACTTAATTCTATTAAAGCATCGAATGAAACTTGAAAATATTGACATGAGGTAAAAGTATGGTTTTCTCTATAGAGGCTATAGAACAAAATATTTCTACTGGGAGATTGTGATCATGTATAGGAAGATTGTTATCATAATAATTGCAGTATTCATTGGTAGTTTTGGAGTTATTTCTTAAGCATTATTGATGCTACTTATTCTAATATGGTAAGAATAGTTCTTTTATTAACACTATTAGTTTTACGATGTTTAATTTCAAAAAGAAGCCATTCATTTCTCAGATCTTGAATAATCTTGAAACACTCTCATTAGTCACATCAATGGTCACTGTTTATTGTGGAGTCTTTTTCATTATCAATAAACCATAATCTTGGATCAACTAAAATCCAGACTACTCCTAAGGTGCTGTGTCTCTCTCAGTTGGATTTTAAAGATTCTTTTTCTCAATGATTTTGATAGCTAATCTACTCTTTTTGATATACTGGGCCTTTAAATTTCAATAAGAACTTCGATCTAAATTTAGATAGAAATTAACAAAAATCTACTTAGCTGTATGCTTGTGCTTTAACAAGGATAAGCTATAAAAGGAGTTCAAAGAAAGCAAAATTAAAGAAGAGAATTTGAAATATGAGGATACATTTCTAAAGTTTCTAAAAACTATCAAGAATTTGGGCAAGAGAATAAAACTCTAAATGAACAGTCAAATTATTGAGAGAATGTAGATATATCTAGGGGATTAAATGATCAATAAGTTATAGAAATTGCAAAAAGTTACTGAAAGTAGACATGGTAGTATTAGAGTTCAACATATGCCTTCTTTCAAAATGATGCAATAGAAAGAGTAAATGGAAGCAGTAGATTAAAGAATAGATGAATAATTGCAAAGAGATCTGACTATAGGAACGCTTTAATTGCCTGATGCAGCAAGAGATTACTCTGGATACCTAAGCTCAAAGCAAATAAAAAAATCGAAGAAATCTCATTTAAACAAAAAGAATAGCAAAAAGAATCATTAAAATCAACTTAAACTAGAGTCAAGTTTCAATTCAGATTCTGAAAGCTAGAGTGTAATAAGCTCTTTTAAATCTAAAAACTCAACTATTGGAATTTCTAAATAAGACAACCAGAATTCATTCAAATCACAAAAATTCCATTCACCTAATATCACGAGTTACTTTACCTTGTTTTAATCTGGGTTTATGGATAAGCCTGGGAAAACAATTAAAATGTCTTAGTTCAAAAGAGATGTTACCATTGATTTATCTGAAAGTGGATCAGAAGTACTTAATTAAGAAGAAACTTTAATGCAAAGCTAGAATGATGAGGCTATCTCATTATTTTAAGATGATAATTTAGAAGAAAGTAAGGAATCTACTCTAAATCAGATTTATCTCAAGTCTGGCACCAATTTAGCTTAGTAGTAGACACAAAAATGGGTAGATATAGAAAATGAAATAATCTAAACTTATAATGACATAGTTGCAGAAGAATAAAAGTCTGATTTCTAACTCATCAAAAAAGTATCCTCTAACAAGAAACCAACTAGAAAGAATATTGGATTATAAAATATCGCTTCTCGAGAATCAATTAATTCACAATAAAAGTATCTGAATTCTTAAAATCATGGCTAGAAATAAGTTATCAGATTCAATTCTAAGAAATAAAGAGTAAACAGTTATAAGCAGGATGAAATTGATATCAATAAAATATATCTGGAATCTGAGTAAACAGACCTAGATCATGCGGAAATAGAGGAAATCAAGGATATTAAATCAGAAGAGAAACTAGATTCTATTAATAAACTATCTAATGATTAAAACGATAATGTGTAAGCTCTCTTTACAGAGTAAGTCAATTACTCAAGTATTGAAGCACAGAGTGAGAAATTAGAAGTAAAAGTTATTAGAGAGGGATTAACAAAAGGCAAGAAAAAGATTAGTAGTATTAACTTCAGTAAAAGAAATGAAACTTAGTCTTAAATTGATGAGAATTATGATATTAACTTACACTTCTTAAATGGTTAAGTAGAAAGCAAAGTGACTGATGAGAACCGTTTATAAACTGGGGAATTAATAGAATTTGATGATATAGAAGGAAATAAATTCAACAATGAAGATTAATGAAAATTAAAACGTATATTGCTTTTGAAAAGGCAAATTTTATGATATTATAATTCACTAGTCTAGAGTATAAATATGATGATATATACTGAAAATTATTTATAAATAGAATATTGATTATTTTAATTATTATTTCAATTCTCAAATCTCGACTAAATTCTTTGCTTTTGGGGTTTTGGGGTTTTGGGG